AGAGCGAATGTGTGTGTGCCCGACGCCCAGGACGCTGCCGGCCGCCTGCACCCCGTGGCACCACCTGGCCGGCACGTGCTCGGCGCGCCCTGCTCCGCCCCCCCCCGGCGCAGGTGAGAGCCATGCCGCTCAGGGGGAGAGGTGTGGAGGAGGAGGAGCTGCAGGCTTTAACCTGCCGGCCACATGGAGAGATGGACTGCTCACCCCCACTGCCTGGGAAGACCTGCTGCCACCGCACCGCCCAGAAGACCACCGCCAGCACACTGCCGGCCCCACGTGGCACCACCTGGCCGGCATGCGCTCGGCGCGCTCTGCTCCGCCCCCTCCTCCGGCACAGGTGAGAGCTGTTAATCACAGGTCGGTGTGTGTTTTCATCAAATGGCAACCCGTCCTTTAATGAAGCCTATGGGGAAGTGATGGGGAATGTGCCTGTGATTATCAGGAAGCTTTCCATGCATCAGTTATCTGTTAGTTGATTAGGCACATTTTTCTAGGATCAGTGGATATTTGAACAGCATTACCTTTGTGTATGAAGTTTATTCTTCAAAGGCTACTTAGTCCGCTGTGTATTTGATTTACCATACAATATCTCATTTTTTGTCAGAAGTTTTTTTTCTATTATTTACTAGTAGGGCAGCGTGGACATTACTGGCTTTTTTAGATTTGTTATTGAATTGTCTGCAGCAGCTCTTGTATAACTGGTGTAGATTGTGGATTCCTTCAATAATTCCACTACTGACTAAGAAAGTGATGTCAGTGATTGTGAGCAACAGAGCTTCATAAATTCTGACTCTAGTGATGATGAGTTCTATGGGTTCAACAAAAACTAGAAAAGTACTTAAACTTTAAAGTCTCTCTTTTGTTAATGACAGTGATGATGGTTCTTAATGCCACTGTTGACTGCTGTTCACTTTACAAGGTTGAAATACGGTATTACTGTATTCTGTTATAGTTTATTAAATAGTTTAGTGAACCATTTGATTCAGAATATTTTTTTTCTTGTTTTCCTCCTCTAAAAACTAGGTGCGTCTTATGGTCAGGTGCATCTTATAGAATGAAAAATACGGTGTGTTTAACAATATTCTGCAAAGCAACTAATAAAAACATACCAAAGCAAATACATTTGTTCAGCTCAGTAACAGTGCATTATAAAAGGAAGCAGGAGATGTTCAGGCATTGGACGTTTTTCTGGACAACTAGGCCTGGTGGGAAAGCAGTTCACCTGCATGTGTTAAGAATGCAGTTAGTATATACTCCTAAGAAGACTCCGGATGTAGCAAATCACACCTGTCTGTGATTGCCCATGATGTCAGCTGTGTCTGGTATATCTCACATTTTGTTCTGATGCAAGAGGGAGTCTGTGCCTGTTGTAAATCAACATCAAAGCAAGCAGATATGTTAAGAGTGCATTAATTGGTGCATCTGTGAGTGTTGTAATTTCCATAGATAATAATTGGGTAAGTTTCTAGTTCTCTCTATATAAGGAAGGAATGTTATATAAAGCAAAGGATTTTCCTTTGTGAGGCAGAGGCATGGACAGCCTGTCAGTCTCAATTATCTCTCCTGCAGTTGCGGATGTGTATGCTTTATTACTTACTCGGAGAAACCTAAACACAAATGAAGTTCCAGTTCTTCCACATGTACTGTCTCTCATACTGAGCATCCCAAACGAATTGCAGAATCCATAAAATAGTTAGATTTACAAAGTACAATATGTACGTGAAAGTCACATGAGAGAAAAATGTTCATATATATCTTTAAAGTTAATCTGATCCAAAGACTGAGGTCCTAAAACTGTTTTCAGTCCTGGGTTCAAAGCCCGGTGAAATCTCTTCTACATTTTCCAAGTCTGTAAAATGAGAATCATAGTTGCAAGATTGTTGTGGAGATTAATATAATATGAGAATATTGTTACAAGCATGTGGACTGATTCTCTGTGAAGTTGTATTATATTTCCAAGTTCACAGAGAAGCAGCACACATGCTTGTTACCTGTTAAAGTCTCCACTTTATAAAAAGAAGGCATTTTGGGTCCAGCTGATGACATACTGAAGTCCTCCTGAAAACCATGACAACATTTTGCCATGATTAATTTAAGCCCTGTTAATTTCAGTGGGACTTAAAGCATAATTAATTCTGGACAGCCTGGAGGCATTTTTAATTCCCATTCCTAAAGAATTATTGATTCATATATTTCGATGAATTATATAAAGCCTTTCCAAAGGAAATGGTACAAAACAATTACCAAGGGGATGGACTAATGGAAATCAATATAATATAGTAACAAGAAAATTAACTAAAAACAATAATATAAACCTATTCCAGTGTGGCAGCTGCTAAAATCCTCCATAGACAAGGCTGTAAAAGCTGAAGTAAAAACAAAAACACCATTAACGTGTTATAAATATTAAAATGGGAATTACTGATTTGTCATTTTGACTTCTCTCTCACTCTTCTACCAAGAAAATGGCACTCAAGGTGGTTTACAATCATAGCTAAATACAACTTGATTAAAATAATAAAAACACAATTAAAAACATTACAAAGCAGGATAAAAACAGCACCCCATTCAAAAGGCCTGCTTATAAGCCAAAGGCCTGTGTGAATAAAAACATATTTGCCTGCTGGTAGAAGGACATCACAGAGGAAATCCACCTAGCCTTGAAAGAGTCCTACTGTAAGTTGGAAGATCTCTCCACTACAGCTGCATTCATCTATCATGGAGCATGGATGTAATATGTAGGCAAAATGCTTTTACCATTAATGGATGCAGTGTGGAAAACATGATCTTGTGTAACAGACGCTGAAATTACCGGAGAAGTAGAAAGAGCTGGAAAGGGGTGCATGTAGGGAAATGGCACTTCAAAAGGAACTTTTGTTTTTAATCCACATTGCTCAAGGACAAATGGGCCAATGAGCTGAGATTTCTTTTAAAAAGAGGGCAAACTGACAACTCCTCCTTGGCGATCAGAAAACATCATGGAAAAGGAGAAGGGGATGGGAAGAGAAGAGAAGAAGGGGGAGTGTGATGCCGCTCAGTGCTGTTTCTCCCACCTCTTGTGTTTTGAGGATGGCCAGGTCAGCACTCACATCCCCTCCATCCAAATGCCATTCCTGAAAGTAAGAGCAGCCACTCTCCTCTGCTGAGTGGCTCAAAGTAAGTGCCAGTTAAGTCAATGTGGTTTACTTCTGAGTAAGCACCATCGAAGATAATGTGTTTTACCTCTGAGTGGATATGTAGTTATTTATAGGGGAGGGGAGGGGAGGACCAATAATCTCTAGTTTGTAGAGCAGGTGAGAGAGAGAGAAGTTGGAGTGGGAGAAGTGAAAGCATCTGAAATCTGAACAGGCGTATCTCCTTCTTAGAGTTGCTACTGTTTTGTAGAGGGGGTGTGAGGGAGGTAGGAAAGCAACAGAAGGCCAATCAGTTGTGTCTTCTTGCAATACCACTTCACCTGCAGCCTACTAGCCCACTGAAGCAACTACTTCCCTCCCAGAACAGTACCGCAAGTTTAGCACACACTGGAATATGCAGCTTGGGAAAATGCAACATATAAAATGGTAATTGCATAACTGCTCTGAAGAAATTTGGAGTATGATGGCAGAAATAATTGGAGGAGCATAGTTTGGGGCAGTTGAGTCAGGTGCCTCTAGTGCAGATCACCCCTGATCCCAAACCATATAGTGCTTCATAGGCTATAACCAGCACTGTAGGTAGGTAGGTAGGTAGGTAGGTAGACAGACAGACAGACAGACAGACAGAACGAGCGACCGAACGAACGAACGAACGAACTTTATTACGGTCAAAGGGCCAGCTCCATTCAATAAATTCCTAGATTTTAAAAAAGAAGAACATACATTGAAGGTTGTCTGTCATAAAACCCCAGTTGGATTAATAAATACTTTGACACAATATCAGTCATCTTAAGTCAGTGGCATTCCCAGACTTTGTCATTGTACAACTAGGTAGGGCCACACTCCCTCAGGTTCTGTCTTCGGACACCCATCATGGCCACGAAGGATTTAGCAACACTGTATGTTAATGTTGGATTAGTGTCAGACAGCAATATATATATATATATTGTTGCTCCATATGGCCCAGGAAGCGATTCATCAGTGGAGAAATGAGTGAAGTGTGAATATCCCTATAGAATGTACACCTCGGCAGGACATTCTCTGTCGTTTCTGTCTGTTCCACACCACAGGGGCAAAGGTGCTCTGGCCAGGGGATCTTTTTATACCGTTCCTCCAAAACTGCCGAGGGGACAGCAATTTGGATTGGACCCAGAAACAGTCACATGTTCCCTGTAACCAGCCCTGTCTGGCCACAGTATTCTGGATCAGCTGAAGTTCTCAAACAGTTTACAGGTCAGCCTCATTGAAAGCAAGTTTCAGTAGTTCAAACAGCATGTCTTGAAGGCATGTGTGGCTGTGGCCAGAACAGGAATTTTTAAGAACAAGCACAGTTGGCACATTATCCCGTTACACAAAAGCACTCCTAGCCCCTAGTCAAGTGCAGGCATCCAAGTTCAGGGCCAAGGCCAGGAGCATACCCAAACTGCAATGCTGTGGCTTCATGGGGAATGTAACTCAGTCCAGCAAGTCTGAGTCTGTATTCCCTGTTTGAAACCAGTACAAGACAAAAACAGAATGGCTGTTGGATTAAAAATATGCTACCATCAAGAAGCACAAGCCATCAGCCTTCCATTACTTTACTTAATGCAGGCATGGAACAGGAGAACAACCTACCAGCTTGTGCACCAAGTTAATTAAAATAGAAGGAAAGTATTCTCATATATAATTGGGTTTTGCAGGCCCTCCTGAGTTGATTCCAGATTTGTCTTTTTCTTCCTGGATCAGTAACTACATACAAGTTCCATGGCTTAGTAGCATAAATATTTTAGTATTTACTCAAACATAGCCCACACCTACAGTGAATAAAGCTTGACAACTGATAACAGGAAATGTGCAGTCCATGTGCTGACCATAGCAGCCACTCACCATGGTTAGATGCTGCAACAGGTACGAGACATCAATCATATCAGCCAGAATAAGAAGTCTTGTAACAGCAGCCAAAAGCGCTCGTGCAACTTGGACAACTGCTTCCCTTTTAGGCAGATAACAAGGATCATCTGTGAATTTTTTTGCTGTTATCCTTAAAGCTTCACCTGTGAAACAAAGATACAAATAATTCTGTACATCATGCTTCCATTAGTAAATTCTTAAGGCAGATCATCTACACTGAACTGCACCAGCTCATTTATCATGTATTGTCAAGTACGCCATCATAATTAAAGGGTGATTCTTAGCACGCTTACTTATCACTTGATGGTTCATTGCTATATTTGCTAACTGGTGGCAAGTACACTTTGCATCTGAGAACGTGCAAGATAACATAAAGTTCTTCCGGTGGTGTTTGAGCTCTGATGGTCACTGACACATCTCCATGTGCCATCGACACATTGAAAAATCTCCATGATTAGCAGCTGTCAGGCAGTGAATACACATGTGCGGTGTAGCCTTTTGTTTAAACATCTGCATATGGTCCATTCCCTGGCCACAAAGCAGTTCCTCGAAAAAAATCACCCACAGTAGGACTTTGTGCAATTAGCTTAGAGTGGAATTGCATATGGAATGGATCTGTTCTGTGATATAAACAAACCAATATAAGATTCTGAATGAGATTTACTGAAATCTAGATGGTAGGGATGGATGAAACTGACATTCCAGCTGACTGAGTTTCTCTGAATTCCCCCTTGAAGCTCACCTTGATTTATTTTTGTTCCCAGACTTGAGCATTTTCATTTTAGATTGGGAAATAAGCTTAATTTTGATTGGGAAAAATGAGCAAATTTACCCATGCACATCCCAAGTATACATTTTCCCCCATACATTACAGTATGAAAATATGCATTTTTCAATGTACTTTGCATTTTTCAAAGGGGCTCAGAAGTTCAGAAACATGCAGACATGTTCTCCATAGTTTTATTCACGTTAGCATTTGGGGGTCACAAAAATGGCTTGTCTGAGTGATTTATACATAGAAACAAATTTCACATATAAAATTCACAAACTTTGCATTCCTACTGAAATCATAGAGGCCTATGATTGCAATATACGGAACATTTCTTGTACCACAATTGCATTATTTCTGTTTAATGTTTTAAAATAAGTTATAGAAGTTTTAAGTTGCGTATCTATGCCATGCATAGGGAGTTTCCATACCTTTGCTTTTATTTGCATTGGTTCCTTGACTTAAGCTTCAAGCTTGTCCTCCCCAATTATAGAACATCGGCCTTAGTTACAGACACCATATTGATTGCCAGACATCTTATTGAATTTCACCGGGCTTCAACACCTATGTTTCTGCATAGTCAGGTTCAAAAGCTAACAAAAGCTTAATAATAAAGCAAGAGACAGACTGCAACAGGCTTGTGTTATCTGACAACCATTCTCAGGTTGCCGTGTTTGACAAGAGTGGCTCATTGCCCCTACAGCTGTTGCTAGCTAACACTTCCTTTTGTTTCTTCCATCCCTGTGTAGGTAGGTAAGTAGGTTTTATTCCTTCTGAATTTTGGTATGTTTTTGATATGTGTTTCCTTTCTGCAGAGCTGTTTGTTAGTAACCAGACAGGTAGTAGTTATATTATTGTCAGATGAATGATTACTTATTCTTCATTGCTAAATTCATTACAAATCTTAACTCTTACCTTTAAAAATTTATCTGACACAAAATTGTGGAATTAGGGATAAATATGCAAAGGAACGGGCCACTTCAACTCTGAAAGAGTTTACTACAAATTATACTGTACCCCCAACCCACAATAGCTGTTCAGGGCTCCAGCCAGTCTGAAACAGAAGCTTTATAGTGTTGTTCAGGAGAGGGAAGAGGGGGTGTCTAAAAAAATCTTGCACTGGGCTATGTGATGCTGAGGGGCTCAGATTTGGGACAACTGGCAGTTATATCATGGAAGGGAAGTCTGGAAAGTGCGGGGAAAGAAGGAACCCTTTTGCTACTCTCCCTCCTCAGATATCACCAAATAGCCTGGGCAGGAGCTTGCTTTCCAATTCTAGGCACACGTCTCCAGGACCACCATCAAGAATAGCCATGATCACAGCCACTGAGAACCAAGCAGGTCCCACTGAGATTGACCATCTTCTGGTTTGTCCGTCTCACTTTGGCCCAGAAAACCATGGTGGGGAGATGCCACCACCACTCCTATTTTCTCATTAAGCTGGTTCTTAGGGTTTCTAGTGTGCAGAAATAACTGCCTTATTTAACTGCTAGTTCACTCCTTAACACTCAGAATTATTGGGCCACCCAAGTCTGGCAAAAGAAATGATGGCTACTAGTCCTTTTTCCCACTAGGAAATTCTTACTGCAAAATGAAAAAGTTAGAAAGGTACTCCCTGTTAAATAGTCAATATATCAGCTTAGAAAAAAATCAGATGTGGAATCGTAAAATTAATAGCTTTTGTCTCGCTTGTATCAGATGATACCATTAAAGATAAGTGTAGTCATTAAGAAAGAACAAAGACTTGGAAGAAGTCTTGACATATCAATAAACAATTGTTTTGAAAATGCCTTCCAAAACACTCTCCTAGCCTGGCATCCACTAAAAGGATGTGGCAATTTAAATATTTATGATATTGCTCTATAATACACTAAAGCACTTCCAAAACTCATGTAATGGCAACATTGCATAACAGCAAACTGGGTATACCTTGATGCCTTTAGATAGCCTGTATTAACTAAAAGGAGCTTTTAAAGAGAAAATTTAATCTTTTGAACTATATGTTGCCTTCATTCCACATGCTAATGGCATTTTATATTGCTTTTACCCCAACATGAACCCAATATTAATACTTTAGGAATGTACCGATCTACTTGTGTCAAGAAATGTGCTTTGCATTGACTGCGCATACACAAAAGCATCAGAAGCATAGTCCGTGATGATGGTTTCAGCTGGGCTAGCTGGACACGGACTGCAGCAGTGGCTTCAGTGCCGTATGTACTGCAGCCTTTTTGAAGGAGTGCATCACTGGACACATCCCCACCATGACTAGATGTGTTTGTGCATATTTAGAAATGTCTGCGGCATTCTTCACACATTTTCACATGTTGTGGAATGCATTTTTTCTTTCTCAGAATATACTGTAAGCCCAGAACTGTGTGATTTCCTAATTCCTTGACATGCTCAGCCTTCTTCAGCACTACATAACTTTCCAAACTGCTGCTACTCTGTATTTGTGAAAAATGATTGTGGGCAACACAGCAGGAGCAGGATTATCTTCTACCTCTGCTTACAGCACAATCGCCATGGGATCTGACCCGGATATGTGCATTCTTGACCACAGTGCCAAGTGATTAGCATCTTTTCCCTTGAGATGCATTACAACATTTAAAATAGCTTTCCTTTTCTTGCTTAAAGTCATTTTCATTTTTAACAGTTTGTGTAGGTGAATGCTGGGAAAAGAAAATCTTGCTCAAATGTTGAAAAAGCTTCCAGTGAAAAATAAATGTGCCCATGGACAGGAAAAGGAAAAGAACACATGCATCATTGAGCCCTTCAGAAAAACGATCTTAGGTATGGTATGGAACTTAAATAACCAAATTTGTACATACAGTATTATTACCAGCTGTTAAGTAAAGATTGCCTTGTATCAATGATGGTAAAGAAGCATTATTTAAGATGCAGAGCAGAACTGCATTTAAATATTGGGTTGATTGCTTAGAAAAAATGTCAGAGCTCAGACAGCACAACAATCCATGATGGATTTTTACCACTGCTGGTCTGTCAGGTTGTCCAAACTAAGTCATGGTACTCTACCATGGTAAGTTTGGTCTTTTGAGACTATAATTAAGAAGAATGGTTGGTGTTATGGTTCCTCCATACCACCATGGCTGGCATTGCTGTCTGAACCCAGGATCATGTTTTCCACAATTCTGGTATGCAACTATTACAGAGTTCCCTGGAAAGAGCAGCCATTCCAGGAACTGCTCCAGCCATCCTGCTTCTCTAGTAACAGATGTGCAGACCAATGAGGAAGAGGCAGGCAATGTAGGCAAGGAGCAACATAGCCTAGGAATGAATTTCAGGCGCAATGTTATGTTCCAACAGTGCAAGCATAGAGCATGAAGGATGAAAACCACGATAACATAGAAAACACTTGAACGTCTTTCGGGTAGATCATGCTAAAAAACATGACATGTACTAATTAGGGAAGGTTGTTTGTTGTGTTGTGTGACCCCAGTCCGTGGCTGCATTCACATGTCACAGCAAATAACCCCATGCAGTCTCCATGCCACATAGATTTTTGCCTGAACTTACTGGTCAGATGATCATGTAGTTCCCATAGCAACATGGTTTCCATGGTCCCCACTCTGTCCTCCTACTCTTGCCATGCATCCCCACAGCCCACACAAATGACATCTCCTTCCTTACACTATTGCTTCCTATGGACTTCAGAAGCCTTATCTCAAGTGGTCCACTGTGGTTTTAAGACAAGTTCCCCCTCTTCCCACTCCTCAGTATACCTGCATCTTTGCACACTTCCTAGCAACTCCAGCCAACAAAAGAGTTTTTATTACAGTATAATACACGTTTTGCTGCAGTTCCCCCATGCTCCCTCTGTTCATTTAGCTGTTTCCTCCCAGTTCCCAGAAGTAAAGAAGGAGACAGGCTCAACACTTGGCCAATAGGAAGCATGCAAGCCATGATGTATGTGTTGCTATGGAGCTGAGGATAGTAGAGATGGCTGAGTGGCCACTTTTGTGGTCACCCTCTGCACAGGACTCTATGCTGTTTGCATCCTGACCATGGTAAAATGGAGATCCCAGGTCCAGACCACCAGAGAAGCTGCGATGAAGCACGGCAACCTTAGAACAGACCATTGATTCTCTCCCTGGTTTCAGGAAACTAAAAGTACCACGTAGAAATGCCACAATGGGTCTAGACAACACAACAGTCCAGAAAGGGTAAGAATGGCTTCTCATGTCTTGTGAACATAGCTGATATAGGTGAGACATTTTCATGGTTATTAAACTGTTGCTAATTAACATACAGCAAGGGATAGCTAATTTCTGGAGACGATTTGTGTATCACACTGGCACCACAGTTCCTCATTGTTGGGTCCTACGCCATAGTGACAATGTTTGAAACAAGGAG